AGATGAAAGATGGTGCCCATTTCGAACATTTCCTCATATAACTAGCCATTCCTCTGGATTTCTTTTTAGCAACTCATTGTAAATCTGTATTAAACTTTGAATTTTACTTGGGTGCTCAATACTTCATTTTGTCACCGAACCCGAAGGTGACAAGTACTCTGCGACTTTGTCCTCCGCTCTGAAATCAGTCTGACATTATTTTTGATGACCTCCTTACCCTCCCTTGAATCCTCTGCTCGGTGGTCACCAAATTTATCGTCATGCAGAGCGCATCATTTACCATAAAGTAGTCAATATCCGTTCCTTGGTAAGCCACTGTTAGAGTAGGGGTAAAGGTGTCACACTCCTGTGATCGAAATTCGCCCAACAAGGGACATGGGGACTTACTTCCACTTCGTCGTAAAGTCCGTGACGGGAACTAGAAGAAGATAGCCAAACTCTCTTTACAGAACACAGTAATCATGAAGTTGATGAGACTTCGCGACAGCCCATTACCGATTCTGTCTTCAATAAGCATACCATGTAGACGTAGTCCTCGAGTTTCCGTCACACTTATATCCCAGTTGGACCCTAACTGCACGCAATTCTTGAAGTACAGTCATCAGCAATTTAAGGTGGTATAACCAGAGACCACCTAATGGCAAGTCGACATACGTTGAGAACTTGCCGCCCAGAAGGTCTGTAGTTCGAATCCCACCTCAGCATCTTGACTGATCCTGTCTGGGCCTGCACAGCCTGGCCGTGTCGTAGCCCTCGTGTTTCCTTCGGCTGGCATCGTATCCAAGATCCAAAAAGGTGATACTATCGATCGATCGCAGCAAGTCCATTTGAAAAATACTGTAAGCGAGACGTTTAGCTGAGAGTTGCTTAGGCCCCTTATTAGCAACAAATTAATTTACGAATGATTGCACTTCACCACACGCTTCCACTAGAGAATGCAATACACTGTAAAAATTTACAAAAAGGATATGATGGCATCGTCCGGTTTCGAAAGGTTTCGGAATAATCCACTGAGCGCGAATCAGTGTAATTCAACGATCTACAGTATCTAACGAATAGGACTGTGTGGGTTCAACAAGCACACAATCTTCGATCAGAAAAACTGGACCAAACAATGTTGAACTGATGATTCGCCACATCACGCAGAGGCATCGTTTTGTACGAGAGACTCAGCTGTCGGGTTTCTGAAGTGGCCAGCAGAACTGAACTTAGCTTTTGAAAACCCTTGTTCACAACTGCTGGATGGAACCTAGTTACCATGCCAAAAACTGCTAGCATCTTCCGGGTCGTGCAGAGGTAACCCCTTCCCGGGAGTCATTCAGTCCGAATTCCAACAACTGCTTCTATCTCCTCTGGAGGTTTTGTATTTCATTTGAATGGCCGAGAAAAAGCGCTCCTTTTAGGGAGGGAAGTTGTATTTTGGAGAGGACAAATTCAGGCGTCACTATGCTATATTGTTTCAAGCTGGCAATTCCAGTCCAAACCGGGAAAAAACCAGCCCACGACCGGTTTCGCTTAAGAACATTATAAATGAGAGATTCAGCTCTCGTCAAAACCGAATTGGCATGTATATAAGTGCACTTATGAATTGTTTTAGGTGAGACCACAAAGAGTTGACGTAGCGAACCATGTCACAAAGCCTCTCGATGCTGTCACAGAATTTGATCGATCGTCTTGTTCGGTGGTGCTTGTTCCAGGTGGTTTCAAAGAAGTCACTTGTCGCAGTTACAGAACAACATAATAGCAATGTCGGGTGAATTTAGCAGCGTGCAACGTGTCCTAATTAATGTCCGATCCACCTTTTCAAGGGCACACGAGTGGTAAAATGTGAGCAGTGGTTACTAAACATCGAGTGAATTACACTAACATAAGAATTATGAGATGTATTGTCGCTTCCTAAAAGCGAGAGATTTATCGATCAACACTGTAAATTTGAACGAGTTCTATGTCTGGCAAGCCTGTTTGAAATTTCGCCACATCTTTCCGGGTGAACGAAACTGTTTAGTGTCACATTTCACGACCTCTGGGATATTAGTCGAACGGGGGCGTGCACTGTTTGTGTTTATTTTTCGATTGCGTGACTGCAATCCCAACTAATGCCAGACAGCCTGCTGGATATTCATAACGCGCGCCAAGCTGCCTAGACGGTTCTGTAGAGTAACACAACTTCGACCTGTTTTAGGGCTAGATATCGTAGCGGGCAAACTTGGTGTATCTGTTAGTCTTGTAATGTACTGTGATCGGATTATGTAAGAGGTGTTAAGGACAGTGGAATAATGGTAGCTTTTTTCGGATACAGTTCCACATCACTAGTCCACCCCATTCTGGTTTCAGTCGACATGGGAAGTCATCACGTTTGCTTACTTATCCGGGCTTGTTTTTCGGACCAATCGTACCGTGACTTTTGAATTGGAAAAAACAAACACCCAATCATACCGTGGTTTGAATCTTTTCAGATTTTATTATACAGTCTCCTATTTCTCTGAATTGGGCTTTTTTAACCAGGCAGTACATTTTCAGTTTTCAATGGAAGAAACTTTTTCAGCTGTATAGCCAAAAAAAGTGAAATTAGTTGCTTTCTTTAACGTTGAGCATGGGCACTCAACAGGTATACAACAAGACTACACAGAAAGGGGCGCAAGCTGATCGATCGATCGACTGAATTCAGGTGGCAGGTCATCCTTCGTGTGATCAGGAGGTACGGAAACTCTTTTTTGTCCACAAATACCTCTTAAAGTTCTAGCAGGGGATCCTTGAAAATATTGTCTTTAAAAAGAAAACTGAATCAGAGCCTTTGGACTACGAGTGAACAAAGTCCACTTGTAAAGCACTGTGTAATTAAATCACGTACGTGGTTCTCTAGTATCTCTGAAACTCCGAGAGGGGCGAGATGGACCAAGTGGTTAGAGCGCGAATATACTGACCGGAAGGTCCGTTGTTCGAACCTGACCTCTGCCTCTCGACTTCCCCTATCTAGGCTTGGGCAGTCTGGCAGTATCCCAGCCCTCGTCCTTCCTCCGGGTGGCATGGAAGCTAGGCACCAAAAGGGCGAGATAGACCAAGTGGTTAGAGCGCGAATATACTGACCGGAAGGTCCGTTGTTCGAACCTGACCTCTGCCTCTCGACTTCCCCTATCTAGGCTTGGGCAGTCTGGCAGTATCCCAGCCCTCGTCCTTCCTCCGGGTGGCATGGAAGCTAGGCACCAAAAGGGTAATACACCTGGACGATTTTGTTTTCTGAAACTCCGAAGCTTGGTCCAGTTTATTTGATAAGTGAAAGGACTCGGATGAACTACGTTAAAACCAATTCCTGGCCTTGGCTTTTTTACTGATCACATGCGAATGGCGCACTCAATCCACCTGATTTTCGCACTGATATCCATTCACTTACTTTGTACATGCCTTTAAAAATTGTAGACTTTCCTCCGGAAGGTATCGTTTTAGGTTGTCTTTTGGGTGAGAGGCTACGGCAGTGTACAGGCTTTACTTGGTACATACTCTTCCACCTCTGGATAGGCTGTCTGAAGTGACCGGCCAAAGTGACTGCTTCCAGGATATAGCCTCTCCCAAGCGAGACCTTCCAGACTACTTACACTGTCTCTTGCGCTTAGCCTGAAAGCGGTAAATCACTTGTGTCTGTTTCAACTTGGCCGTTTTATCAGCAACTTTGCTCCACAAAGCTCATTTTCAGTCGGTCCCTGTTGTATGAACTTCACTGTACTGAAAAGTATTTCTAATCTAATTAAAAATGAAGGTCGTATGATGCCTAACTTAGAATGTAAGGTTAATCATGCGTTATGACTCTTGGGCAAAACCTTGATCGGGTATAAAAAAACTCGAAGTCACACGAGACCTTTTTCTTTATCGGGGTTCAGGGTTGATGGAATTTGCAACGAATAAGTTGGCTTGCATGTCTAGGAAGGATCCCCGAAAAATATAAAGGCACAGCGTTGATGGGACTTGGAACAAATAAGTTTGCTTGCATGTCTAGGAAGGATCCCCGAAAAATCATAAAAGCAAGTCGGCCGATCATCAGGCGTTGGCTGGATCTTATTTACTCAATACCTTGCTGAAAATCAGTCTAGAAATTTTCGGAATTAATTATGCAATTAAGGTTCATCTAACACTTAGCAACAGGACTGAGTTATCAACGCTTTTTTCTTGCGTTTTGTGGCCGCCCTCACTGAATTGTGCGTTTCTGGTGAGTGGGACCAATTAAACTTTGTTCTGGAAATGACAAATACATTCGGAAATCGAATGCAAAAGTTACAAGACTGTCGCCCGGATCAACTGGTGTAAGCGGTCAGGACATAAGTTTAGGACAGTCTCCATCGTACAGAGATGTTGTTGAGTCTTGCCGACTCTGTCGTCCACAAGAATTTATAAATAATTCTACTGCATTTTCCCGTATCTACTGATAATTCCTTGACCTACTGAGTTAGTACACTGTGTGAGACAGGTTGGCTAAATAAACACCTCCGTGAGGTGCAGTTGACGGTGGTTTTTAATGAACTGGAACGAAAAGAAAACTTATCCTGTTGCCCCGGCTCACTCTCCTGTCCAACGTTGACGTCACGATGTAGGAATAAGAGTCATGTTGACACCTCTTCAATGTTCGTTTGCTCAGCCTTTGACCTGTCAAGAGAGCAGTGCTTATTGTCAGTAAAGCGGCGAGAGATATCCAAAATATGAACGAACCAGAAACAAGTATGAACTACGATGAACAATGCTCACTCTGAACTTGTGTAAAACGGTTGCCTCTTGAACTGAATCTCCTGAAACCTGCAATCAACATCGGACCGATTAGTGCTCAGTCGCATTTGATGAACCAGACATACGCAGGTATCGCTAATTCGTACGCATTTGAGCACTGCTGGCTCTTTGTGTCTTCTCATCGTAGAAAATGAGCCAGTTTGTGTAACACAGAGTTTTCATCTGGACTTTGATACAATCGGAACTGCCACTGGTTGCCGTTTCCAGCCTGTTTAAATGGACAGCAGAAATACGTCTGGCTATGCGACAGCCCACAGATCCATTCACATCTGTTCCAAAGAAGCTCAAGTGGTTAGAGCGCGGGTCCGTGGTTCGAACCCGACCTGCGCCACTCGACTTCCCCTGCCTAGGCTTCGGCGCCTGGCAGTATCCTAGCCCTCGTGGTTCTTTCGGGTAGCATGGTAGCTAGGTACCTGAAGGGTGTTACAGCTGAACGAATTGTTTGTATAGGGGAAAATTTGACACATGGTCTGAACAGTTTGAATGCCGTTTTACAGCTAGACATTACACCTTCCCCATTTCACTGTAAGAGATAGTACCGTTGAACTTTCATAGGTATTTCTCATGGGCGGCGCACTCATTCCTATAACGGTTTTGATGGGCAATCAGTTACGATGCAACTATGCAAGAAAGGGGGTGTAGAAAACATCGTCAGCCAGGCAGTTAGATTTTGAATAAATCTCGTTCATCAAATCCGCATTTTCTAGTCACCTTAAGTAGATCGGCGACTAACGGGAACACCAACCGGGTCACAACGCATGAACAGAGTGGCGAACAGGTTTTCTTCAACAGAGGCTTAATAAGGTCAAACTATTTGGGAGCATTTAGCCGAGTTCAACAGATGACCATTACTCGTTTCACCAAAAAGTCACACAGGAGCAAACTGATCCAGTCCTTCAGAGCAATTTGTGTTGCAAAGCTTTCGAAAGCTCCTTCGTGAACGTCTGTCTCATTAAACGATCTTCATTGTAAATCCTATATGGAAAGCAGCCGCCCTTCAGACGGTATACAATTTGTCATGCGTGGTACGTAACTATCGAACCCGTATTGTGCGTATAGTGCTGCCTTTCATGGCTTTTCGTTGAGCAAAATCAATGAAATCAATATAAGTCCGATTTGCCACCTATTAGCTGAGGCTGAGAATCACGTGCACATTGCTCCGGAAGCACCGCTTGGAAATTTCGTTATTTGGAGGACACCCGTTGGAGCGTATTACTTTCGAATGAATCCGAGCTGGATATTTTTGCATTTCGTTTGCTTTCTGTTCTGTAATGGGCACAGAGTGATCCTCGATTTCCAGACACAAACACTGACTATTCCTTCCTACCGCACTGCTGTTTTCCAGCGTAAAAACTGTTCAGGTAAGATGTTGTAGTTGATTTTATGGCCACTGGTCATAGGTGCGGTCTTTTGGGATCTCCCGATCACTTTATTAGTACTGAATGTACTGAATGTGCCCTTAGTTATCCCAGACCGTTTCTTCAAGGAAAACGTAAGCTGTCTCAAATGACCAAGACTGCTAGATAAGCAGTGCTTCAAATTCGTCGCTGTCAAATTTTTTCACGTAGAACGTAATCACCACATATGTATGAAGGAACCAGTTGTTAGATCGATCCGCGCTGGAAATGAAGAGAAAGAACTTCTTTTACGGAGAAGCCCCCTTCACCACCAAGTGTGATTTTTTCGGGGCAAACAATGTCAGTCCTTAGCGAATATACACTCAGTTGCAAACTAATTTGGTTTTTCTCGAGAGGCTCACCTGGAACCCAGCTGAATCTCTCGTTTATGATGTTCTCAGGCAGATTTTCAGCAACCTTATGAGTAGTACAATGCCAGGCCTTGTTTGGATTGGTAGACTCTTAGAACCAGTCATACGCTTTGCTGACTTGTGGATAGCTCCTAAAAATGTGTCTATTCATGAATAATCAGGTCATCCAAATTAAGGACTGAATGGTCTTCCAGCTGGTGGACAAATATGCGTGCATTCTACTCACAAGTAATCAGTAGATTTTTCGGGGTTTCCCACGAAGTATCTCACAACAGGGTACAGATAAGTAACCGGTTTGATTAAAGACATAATTTAACTCAATTTAACTACTAACTTAGGTGCTGTGTGATGTGGAACTTCATAAAGCGTGTAGTTCTTTAGGTAGAGCGTTGGATGTCGTGTGGACTTGCCATGTGGCAACATTCAGACCAGCCGTTCTTCGACAGATAGACAAAAAACAAAGTAACGTGACTTGAACCATTTTTTCGAGAAAAACACTCGTTACCCTTATAATACTGCAGAAAACAAGCACAACCCTCCAGATACCATTGGAAAGAATGCGAGTACCGTAACCAAACTCTTTCCACTCTAGAAAGGCACGTCTAGATCAGTGCGAGGATAAGTCTCGCTCACTTTCTATGCCTCAACTGACAGATTCGAAGGATGTGTTGAAAACTGAAACTATTTTATCATGCATCTGACCGGTTTTCAGCCGTATGAGAAGGCTCTCCGTAACTCGCCGACAGCTCGGTACAGCTTTCACCGTGTTTTGGGCTTGTCAAGCGAGCCAAACAGTCAGACTTGCAATTAAACACATTTAGCCCACTTGGATATACCCACAGCTTACCCCAGCTGCAGCACCCTTCCGGTGCCTAGCTGCCATGCCACACGAAGGAGGCACTGGAACTGGGATACTGCCAGGTTGCCTAAGCCTAGACAGGGGAACTCGAGAGGCAGAGGTCGGGTTCGAACCACAAACCTTCCAGTCAGTATATTCGCACTCTAGCCACTTGGGCAATCTCGCCCACCCCCCCGCCATTTCGCCTACCTCGCACACACTTAGACAGAATTCAACATCCTGTTTTGTACTACATTCTTTTGTCGTCCACATTTGAACGTTACTTGTCCAGTAATCTGAGAGGAACGCTACAGCATCTAACTCAGACCAGAGGTAACTCGAGCAAAGACTGTCAATCAGACACGTACATTTTCGTATAATCACATAAAACCATGAATGGAAAGTCAGAGGTATTCGAGGAAAATCGCATTTGAATGGAACACTTACGGATATGGAATGGTGGTTTGAACTACGTCACAAAAGTACAAATGCGATCCGTCTCAAGGAATTACCATGTCAGAGCACTAAACTGCTCACAACAATGAATAGTATCCACATTCCGACACTAGACCCGCACTACAGAAACTACACACAAGCAGAAAAACCGGTGTATTGTAAACATTCTTTCATAGTCTGTCTTTTGTTTAGGAGGGACAATAGCAAGCTCCCTGGGTTGCGTGTGAGGGGGAAGGGTTAATATAAATGGCTGGTTTTGGAGCCAGTTTGTCTCCCACCATAACTTCGACCTTTCGGGCCATCCATTTGTCATTTAGTCTAAGTGAAACAGTCAACTGCTCACTCAACTAGTCCACGAACAACACACTTCTCATGCCAGAGTGTTCAATCGTTGATCATAGTTTATCCTAAAAGGGTATACTCTGAGGATAGACGCCCACCCTTGGGAAAGTGGAGCTACGATATTCGAATGATGACTAAGACTATTAGCACAACTGTTTTGTTGAGTGTGAGCAAGCTGTAGAGTTTCGTACAGGTTGCACATTCTAGTTCTCTTTCTCCGTCACCAGTTTATCCAATACAGTATAACTGCTTCAATAGAGACCCTGCTTAACTGAAAACAGTTTGGTCAATACTCCTCCTAACCGGAGGCGTACAACTCTAAATAACCGGAAATCACGCCGATTAGATGGGCCCGCCGCGGAGCCAAAGAAGACGCGAACTGATTGGTCAGAAGGTCAGCCAATGGGACCTTTATAGCTCTGAGCTCCTCGTCCCCATCACGAATATTCTGGCAGATTCTTCTGGGAAATTCCAAGATAACCGCTCAAATGCAGTTGTAGTAATTCTCCTTTGCCTCCACCATCTGAAGCTAAGGTGCCTTTTGGTATGCCCCATTGGGCGGAACAGCAAGCCAGGAATCGACATGGAAGTTGCAATAGCGTCTGCAGCACACCACAATTAGTTATGCATACACTCATCTAAATCATGTCACAGCTGATACGCATTTCTTTCGTTACTTTCAGTGTCACAACCACCACCAGCCTACGAACACGGGTAAGTTGGGCGTGCCAAATTTTTACGCTGTCTTCATAAAGCGTGAGTTTCTAGTGGCAGTTTGTCCCCAACCTGTTCAATCTATTATTATTTGCTGTTTTTAAGGAATTGGAAGGCAGTCACTCGCGTAACAACCAGTTTTTCAAGAGGAAATCAATAGCTTAAGAGCCAGTTTACTCAGGCAACTCAAGATAAATAAATCCGTGAGCTGGAACAACTGTCGTACGCCTATGCATGCCATGTTTATTTCAAATACCTCGAAGGACAACAAGATGGATTTCCGTGGAACAAGCCCGATGAAATCATGGGCTCATTCATTAGCCTTTCGTAAAGCTCATGCTGGTACAATTCTGGGTAAATAGTTTTAAATCTATCAGCTCCGCGGACATCTGTCTATTCTCACATCAGACTGGTACATTTGGAGAAGAACCTTGACGCATCTAGTCTCCCGAAATGGGAGGTTTAGCTACGTCGGACGTGAACAAAAAGACCTGTCTAGAGACTGACACGAATCGTCAATCTCCCGCGTACGGGACTCTTGCTCTTCTTCACGCTTACGCACCTAAACTTCACAGATGATTCTGCAGGACTGAGCCTGATAGACTGAGTCAGTACGAGTAATAAGCTCTTCATGCGACTCTCACCATGGGCCAGACGTTGACGCTGTCCGGACACCCGATGGCCCTTGATCTAAGTTGTACATTGATTTGCATCCCAGCAAACTAGAGAGGGGCCCTTATAGCCTACATGCTTGGTTGCGACCGCGGGATTCGCTGCGGGATCACGTTTTCTAGAAGAACGTTCAACTATAGAAACGGAAGAAAAGAAGATTGTCATTAAACTGAAATCCGTGCAATCAGACCGGGTGATCTATGCATCCTTGTGCGTCCTTTTGCCAGACTTCGAAATGGACAACTAAAAACCGATGTCCAAAGGAGAGCGACTCACAATGACCCCGGGAGTAGCCACCCCAACTGTCAATACCAGAGCTGAGAATTCGCACACTCCTCAGGCGGACTGAGACTCACGGTAACACCATGAAATCCAGAGAGAGAAGAAGAAAAACGTCCAAAGATACAAAGAAAAGAAACCAGATTACGAATCCGCACATCATGCACATTTTTGAACGACTGCGTGTATGTTGCGACGGCATAACATACAAGCCGATGAATACATTTCAGAAAGCAACATCACATCCAGAGAGAAAACTAGGAACAATGAAGAATGCCGGCGTTGTACACAGAAT